CGAAATATTAGTTACTTTCGAAATGAGTTTCAGTCAAGGTAGGATTGTGGTACTTTTTCAAACGAATGATGACATCCGCTCAACACATGTCGTCTGCTCTTTTTCAACGACAAAATGGTTTTCGGCACTTTTATTTCGCCGTTTTAATTTGTAATTTTTATGTATGCAAACATAAAGATTTTTTTAAAGGGATGTTTGAATACGTCGTATTGAACATACAATTTTAAAATATTATTCTTAATTTTAATAATAGACTATACATCTTTTAAAACAAATAAATGTAATAGAATTACTTAAATTACTAAAAAAATATATTATTTAAATAGCAAATATAAATATGTATATTTCATTTATCAGTTTTTATTTTTATTTTTATTTTTTTATATCTTACAGTTCTTTTCTCTTTATTTATATATATATATATATATATATATATATATATATATATATATATATATGTGTGTGTGTGTGTGTGTGTGTGTGTTATAAATTTATCGATTTAAAAGTTTGCCCAGACTGTTAAAAAAGACAATAATGTATTCTGCAATTGAATCTAGGATTTATTCCATATAATTAATTCAAATGTTTTTTTCGTACGGAAGAATTATGCCGTTTTATCATTAAAAGTGAAAAATATCCAAAGATCGCTATTACTATCCGTGTAGCCATAAAGTGGCGCCCATATTTGAGTCTTTTTCAGTTTGTATTGGTTAAATTTTTGTCTGAGTAATCTAGAATTTTTGTCAAGAAAAAACTATTGCCACATCCCAGTAAGAAAAAAAAAATAATCCATGTAAATAAAAAATAACCAAATTAGCATACATGACCGGAAGTTTAAAAAATAGCAAAAAAAAAAAAAAAATACATCCAATTGTTATTTTCCGAACAACCGAATATTATAATAATATATTAAAAGACAATCGGTGTATTATAATATAGGACATTATTTTACGGACAAGGAAGCATAATTAGAACTTTAATTAATAGATCTATTCAAAAATAGGAGATTATTTTACGAACAAGGAAGCATAATTAGAACTTTAATTAATAGATCTATTGTAAAATAGGACATTTTTTACCAACAAGCAAGCATAATTAGAACATTAATTAATAGATCTATTCTAAAATAGGACATTTTTACCAACAAGCAAGCATAATTAGGACTTTAAATAATAGATCTATTCTAAAATAGGACATTTTTTTACCAACAAACAAGCATAATTAGAACTTTAATTAATAGATCTATTCTAAAATAGGACATTATTTTACGAACAAGCAATCATAATTAGAACTTTAAATAATAGATCTATTCTAAAATAGGACATTATTTTACGAACAAGCAAACATAATTAGAACATTAATTAATAGATCTATTCTAAAATAAGACATTTTTTACCAACTAGCAAGCATAATTAGAACTTTAATTAATAGATCTATTCTAAAATAGGACCTTATTTTACGAATAAACTAATACTATCATAACGGAACACAATTAAAAGGTTTATTCTAAAATCGGACATTATCTTCCAAATAACATAATGTTTTAATATTATATTAGAAAAGAAAAAGTATGTTTTAAAACGGGATATTAATTTTCCGAACGATGTAAGATTATGGTAATACATCAGAAAACAAATAAAAGTTTATTCTGAAATAGGACATTATTTTCTGTCTAACCTAACATTAGCGTAATATATTGGAACGCAATTTAAAGTTTTTTCTTGAATCGGAAATTATTTTCTGAACAACCTAATGTTATCATATTATATTAGAACCTAAATTATGCCCGTCCACCATTCTCAAATCACATACTGACGTCAGTATGTCAAAATAGGTCAACACTCTCTGCCTTTTCACTAATCTCTAAATAAGATAGCAATATCTCTTTATTTTTATGTTTTTCCATTTCATTTGTGATTTTTTGTAGGTCTTGAAGATTGAAAGCTGCTGATTTTTAGATCTCTCACGAAATAAAAATTATTACCTATGGGATTTTATGTGTCTGATATTCTTTAATTAATGAACTAGACCTAAAAGGTTTGTTTGAGGAACCCAGTCTTCTAGTATATCGTAAAACTAAGAACCTTAAGGAAATTATATGTAGTAACCACATTTCGGAGGATAAGGTAATCCGTAATAAACCAAAAATAAAAACAACAGGATTTCCCCAACCATGTAACAACAAAAAGAGCTTATACTTTAACCACATTAGACACAACAATTCTTTCACTAGTTCAGTCACTAAATCTATTTTCAAAATTTACCACGATTCTAACTGTAAAAGTCATAAGATAATTTACTCCCTAGAATGCACACTATGCCAGAAACAATATTTAGGAAAATCTGAATGGCCCTTTCACTACAGAATTAATAATTATCGCAATCGAAGTCGGCTCTCCATGAAAGATTATTACCTGTAGAACAAAATTTCCGCCTACAAAAAAATAAAAGATTTTAAAACCCATGCCAAATTCAGTATAATTAAGAAAATAGAAAAGTTCAGAGCAGATAACATTAGAAAAATTTTAAAAGGCCATGAAGATAAGTGGATTCTACGCCTAAAAACGCTCCATCCAGATGGGCTTAACCACAAATTTAACAGCATAGATAGAATTAATATATAACCCCACAAATCAGGCCCTAACCACATTTCTCACCCACACAAGACAGACATGCTCGCGGAGGTATTGAGGCCTCACACTTATGCACACACCCGTACTAATAAACAAACTTACATATAACATATTCACTCCCTCCCTAAGAACCAAATAACACAGACACACTTAACAGATATCCAATAAAACCTGTCAAAATGACCAAGGGAATTCAGAGCAGCATGAATACATTCAGCTCTTATCTTAAATAACAACTTAAATGATACTGTTTGACCAACACGAGGACTTCTCAAAATCCATGATAAAAAAGAAATAATAAAAAAAAACAAATGAAAACTACAGATAAAATTAATTTTCTCCATTAAAACATTCATTTCTGTAGTTCACTACTACTACAGCTTACTGTCAAATCACGCTGAAAACACCGATTCTCGTTCGATCACCGAAGTTAAGCATCGTAGAGCCAGGTCAGTACTTAGATGGGGGGACCGCTTGGGAACACCTGGTACTGTAAGCCCCCAAAGTCCAACCCTTACCTCACAGTCGGTTGGGGGGGTGTAAACGGTAGTGTCAGAGCTATGCCGTCCGGAACTTCGTTCCTGGTAGGGCCACCCAAGGCGGACAGGTCTGACACACACGCCGGCTAACAAGGGCTCTGGTGAAAATCCAAGGAGCGTCTGCATCGGTAACCGGCGGCTTCTGGTCGTTCCTGTCTCTGCGTCTGTGGGAACCCCGCGGCAAGCAAGAACGTTATCCGAGTAGGCCTGGGTACCCTACTTCTGTAATTTATCCCAAGAATCTTCTTCTCACAACAGGAAGAAGCCGGCTCAATCCGCCCAGGGGGAATGCCGCATCAGTACAGTACAGTACAGTACTACTAACACCATTTTTCGAGGAATCGAAGTGAAATAATAAAGACGAAAAAATTTTAATATACAACTCAGTGTGTCTGAAGATTTGAATATTTTTATTGTTCAATATATATATATATATATATATATATATATATAATGTCTAGATAGGTAAAAACAGAATGATGATAGTAATTGGAGTAACAAACTGCGTGGTTGTTATGACTTAGTGATCAGAGCGGAATTTGAAATCGTAGCTTGCAGTGAATGGTTAAAAGAAAAAAGAGAAAACTAAGAAAATAATAAAATCACCAATAACTAAAACTTATTTATTTATGAATTCATTTTTCGTTTCGTTTTGGCAAACTTGTGGTCAAAAGTATCAGAGTAGCGCTCTACGGCTGTTTTCACCTTCTGCCTTTTGCACCGCCATTGCATAAAATCTAAGCATTTTACTCTCAAGTTCATTAAAGAATAAATGAATCCTACTAAATCTATCCCCCCAAAAATTCGAATAATCTAATTTACATAATTCTGATGTAAAAAAAGAAAATGTTACTTATATTGGTTAACTTGTAATCATCTGGACGAACGTTATCTAGACGAATATGTTAAAAATATCCAAATCACCGGACATGAATTACTGAATCATATTTTCTTTTTCTTTTGCTGATAATTTGTGATGACGTCACTTCGATATGTTCTTTCAAAGCAATTTTCTTTTGATCATTGTGAGGTTATTAAGGTAAACCTCTTTCGTCCACAATCTGTGAACACAACCGAAAAGAAGGGAAAAATTCAATTTGCGTATGCTATTTATGGCCGCATTCAAATCTTAATGTTTGAAAAATGATAACGAAAAAGAGAAACATAAAATATGACGATGGAAAAAAAAAATGAAAAAAAAAGATTATTTACTGTAACAGAAAAAAAATAACAAACTGGTTGAAGAGTTTTGCTGACAAAAAAAATTAAGATGGCAGAACAAAAAAAAAATGAATAAAATTGACAATTTGGTCTTTTCCTTGAAACTACGCACCGCAAGATAATTTCTTTTCGCTTTTATTGTCTTTGTTTCTTGTAGAGAGTGGATGTGCGGGTGGTGTAATAGATAGCTTCTCGAAATTAGACAGCGAAGAGATGAGGTCGAATGCCAGTGGAGTTCCTTACACTCTTTTACATTCTTATACACTTGGGAAAGGTATGAATCCATCTTCCATCCCTCAGCTATGGATTAAAATGTTAATGCAATATTGCAAAAAAAAAAAAAGAATTATTCAGAGATTATTCTGTGAATATCATTGGCAGAGAAACGGTAAAGTCTTAAAGAAAATGGAAACAAAACTGACACATTAAATGTATTGAAAATCCGGCCAAAAGGAGTTATCAAGTCATGGGTTATTTATGGTGAATAGCTATTAAAGGTATAATGGAAATGTAGTTCTTATGATTTTACTTCAAGAATACAGTGAAAATCAGGAAGAAAGAGATTGTGGATAGTGAGGAATTCATTCACCCTTTATTGACAAATCAGGCCTAATCTATCTATCTATCTATCTATCTATCTATCTATCTATCTATCTATCTATTACTGGAATCCGACCTGTGGCCAGGGGCTTTAAAATACGTCGACTATTCTGCGGAGGGGTAATAATTCCCCTCCCCCATCAATGAAAAAAACTTTTTTTGCCGTCATGTCTGAGAACGGATTTTGGTGTTTGAGGTTATCAGGTCAGTTGAGTTAGTTGATTCTGTTTCACAATGCACAACTTTGACAACTACTTAACCGAGAAGGAAGGTCTGAGAAAGGACCGATACGATTAAATCGGCACCTCATGACATACCCTAGCGCAAATAGCTCTATATCAATTTATCGAGTACTTTATATACAATATAATATAAAATACAATACAAATACAATGCAAAACAAATACAGTACTAATACAATATAAAATACAAATGCAATACAATACAACACAAACACAATACAATAAAATTACAACACAAAACAAATACAATATAAAATACAAAGACAATACAATACAAAGACAATACAACGCAAAACAAATACAAATACAATACAATACAAATACAATGCAAACAAATACAATACTAATACAATACAATATAAAATACAATACAATATAAATAGAATATAAAATACAAATACAATACAACGCAAAACAAATACAATACTAATAAATATAAAATACACATACAATACAAATATAGTATAAAATACAAATACAATACAATACAAATACAATATAAAATACTAATACAATACAAATGCAATGCAAAACAAATACAATATAAAATACTAATACAATACAATACAAATGCAATGCAAAGCAAATACAATACAAATACAACGCAAAAACAAATACAATACAAATGCAATACAAATAAGATATAAAATACAAATACAATACAATATAATACGATCACAATGCAAAACAAATACAATTAAAATACAATACCCCAAATATACACGGGATAAAATACCATCTCTATTCAATTTATAGGCGTTAGAATGGAAAGGCTGGGGGTCAATCGGTTGAAAGAGATCTAGCCTTGGACATAGTTCTAAACATGTCACTTATTTGGGAAGTGCAACAAATGAATGGTTTAACAGGTGCTCAGAGTCTTTTTCGAATACGAGTATACTGCATTGTCTAGTCCTGACCTGTCAATGTGACAGGCTTTCCCCCTTTGACAGGTCCCAATGGCGGTCTTTGAGGTGGCTGGGTGGTAAGTACAGGTAGTGAATCTTAATACACAAAAATGATGAATAATCAAAATAAAAAGCCCAAAATGTATTTTTCAAACGAAATTTGTACGGAATTTCCAAGATTTTTGTGTTCACGTCCCTAGGAGAAACGCTACTGCCAAAACTTTCCCATTTCTTGATTGAAAAGGTACTAGCCAGTAAGCTTAATCATAAAACAGAAAGTTGGGAGATGGCTATTTGTTGGTTACGGAAACGCTTAAGATATGGTAAAGATGAAAAAATTTCATAATGTCAAACTTAAAACCTTTCTTCGTGCAAGACTAAATTCTTCTAAGTGAGTCATTAGAAGTAGAGTTGTCCCTGGCAACACCTGAGGATATTACATCTGCCTTAGGAAGCCAATGGGTTTGCGATTATCATAGAATCTCAATTCAAAGAAAAGGGGAAACAATTATAGCTAATATCCTTACTTTTGACACACCTGCACCTGCACCCCCCAAATGGGGCATAACAAAGAGCCAGTGGACCTATATATCTCTGCGCCACTAAGATGTTTTAAGTGTCAAAAATTTGAACATCAGAGGGATAGCAGTACGATATGCCCAGCATGTGGGAAATGTAGACAAATGGATCCATACCTTTCTAGAGAAGTCCATGATTAAATAAGATCTAAGTGTCATAAAAGCCATCCAGTATACCCATTAATATGCGATTTCTGTGAAAAGGAAAGGGAGATTGTTGAAGTAAACGACAAGGGAACCAAAAAAGTTCTGTCCGTTTTTTGATTGGTCATTGATTGAAGTTGAAATATATACGAAATGCGTGTAGCAATTGTTTCAAATTTGGACAGCCGGAAGTAAGAACATCAGACGTTATAAAAACACACACGCACCGTGTCCAGCCATCAGTTATAAGCCGGACAGCTGTGAGAAGAATGGAAGTGTCTAGAGATATCGTTCGGGGATGTTTTCTTTATGACTTCAAAGTGGGCTTATCAGCAGCTGCATCAAGTCACCGCATATGTGAAGCGTTTGGGGATAGTGCTGTGGATGAACGTGCTGCAAGGCGTTGTTTTCGAAAATTCAAGTCAGGAAATTTGTCTCTCCATGGTGAGCCTCGCAGTGGACGACTACAGGTCTTGAATGACGGAGTCCTGAAGGCGGCCATTGAAGAGGACAGTAGTCTAACGTGTGGTGAACTTGCAAGACAGTTCAACGTTTCCGATGAAACAGACTTCACCTGCACCGCTTAGGTAAGATGTACAAACTGAGCAAGTGGGTTCCGCAAACGCTCTTGGAGGTCCACAAGAGACAACGAATGGCAGCCTGCGTATCGCTGCTTTCTCGCCACCGTACTGCATTCTTATTCAATCGAGTGCTTACCAGTGATGAAAAGTGGGCTCTATACGAAACTCTCAAGCGTTCCAGATATTGGTTGTCTCCTCAGGATGCTGTCCCTCATGCTTTGTGTCTGGTGGACAGGTCATCAAGTGGTTCATTATGAACTGCTACCAACGGGCCAAACGGTCACTGGAGAGCTATACTCGCAGCATTTGAAACGTGTGCAACAGGCATTGCGCCAGAAGGAGCCAGCACTGGTGAATCGCAAAGGTGTGCTTTTCCTCCATGACAACGCCAGGCCGCATGTCGCGCGAGTGGTCAGGGATACCATACAGCAACTTGGGTGGGAGACTTTGTGCCATCCACCTTATTCACCTGACATTGCGCCATCCGACTATCACCTCTTCCACTCCCTGGATAATCATCTTCATGGGAAATCCTTCACCAATGAGACAGACTTGCGCAAAGCCCTCACGGACTTCTTTGCATTTTATTTTCAGAAGCAAAGCAAGTAGTAGAAGTTTACATGAAAGGTCCTGCTTATATGGATAAAGATAATGGAATATAAGACAACAAATAATGCTGGTCAGCCTGACAAATACAGAGCCATCATTGGGAAGCTCGTTCGCTTGGTACCAAATGATTTTCTCAGATTTCAAACTTACCTAAAATGTCTATATTCCAAGATGGGACCGCAAAAGAACTGAAATAAGAAAGAAAGAAAAAATAGCAAAACGACAGTTCAAACACAATTCATTCCTACCAAAAACACCAAATCTACTACTAAGCAAAGCGATTTCGTATCAATCTATCTATCTATCTATCTATAACAGTCATTTAATTTTATATCTACGTATCTCTCTCTTTCTCTCTCTCTCTCTCTATATATATATATATATATATATATATATATATATATATATATACACACACATACACATATATATATATATATATATATATATATATATATATATATACACAGAGAGAAATAACCTGATATATATATATATATATATATATATATATATATATATATATATATATATATATATATATTACATGAATCATTCATGCACATAACAGATATAGAAGTTAATGATATAAATGGTGAGAATAAATCTTCGCAAACAAATTTAATAAAGTACATTAACCCCCAACCTGTATAGAATGTTATGATCCCTGTTTATAAGTTGCATAAGGTCTTTTTTTAGTTTTTATAAGCTTTCATCTGTTACTACAGACTTCCTCAGGTATGGAAATAGATTTGTTTTTGTTTTTTACTTCTCGGTAATAACAGGACAACGAAAGAAGAGATGTAATCCGAAATATGTTTTTAGAAATGTGTTTTTGTTAATTGTAAGAAATTTTTTGGAGCGTGCGGTCGCAACACTTATGTTGAATTTTTTAATTTTAAGAGTGTGCGTTTTTGTACTAATATGGTAATAGGAGAATTCTTTTGTACTGGTAGGTTTTTCAGTCAATGTGACATGAACTAAATTGTTCAATAAATACAGCAATGTACAGTTATTATCCGAAAGTTTCACGTCGGATCAGTTATTTTAATATCAAGTATGTGGTGCAGTTCAATTTACATTACATGAATCATTCATACAATATATATATATAAGTTTTTTTTATGGTACAAAATTTAACGATATCTAGGAATAAGCAAAATTTATATGGCATTTTTAAAAAACTAAAAAAGAACAACCAGTTTCGTCCCAGGACATATCAAGATTATTTTCTGGTATATAAAAATATATAAGCGTGTACATTAAATTAATATAACGAAGTCCAATAACATTCAGACCCAGTAAGCAGTAAGATCTGATATACAAGGACTCTAGAACCTTGAGGTGATATGAGGAGTGCGACCTAGATAAAATCGAAAAACGGTCCTCACTAAAATCGACCACACAATTCCTGCTATTTATTTCATACTCAGCAATAGCAAAGTCAGAAGTATTGACTTGAAGTAGTTGGCTTTTCCTGGCATCCGGATTCAATATCCTGTGGGGCGGGGAGTAAAGTGTTGTTTTATTCTCAAATCCAAACGCTGGGACGTCCCCACTCTATGTAGTCGAGTCCACAACTATACTTATATTGATAAATCACTGAATTAACATGATGGGGATGGTGGACGTCCTTACGAATGAAAGAGAAAACAGAACGGGTAACAAACATTAACTGAACATTAGCCGAAAAATAACAGCTATTAATCAAACGTGAAATTCGTCTAGATAAAGACTCACTCTCTGTACCAATATAGGAAAGACGCAAATAAACTGGACATTTATCAACAAAATACGTCTTCACCCTATGAAATTTATTGATGACCTCATGGATAACGAAGTCCAAAACATCCAAAGGATATCCGTTTTTTGAAAGTGTCATCTTAATAAAATCAATTTCACCGCAGAGAAAGCTCTCAACAAATCATTAGTGCCCTATGAATTAAGGTCTTAATCAAATTAACCTTTCGTTGTCTGTGATAAAAAGAGTCATTAGGCGTATAAAGTCCCAAGAAAGTACACTTGCTAAATACAGAAGTCACAATTTTGTCTCTAATCCTATGAACAAGGACATCCAAAAAGAAAAAA